AGATATGTGAGGTTCTGATCTTGTGTATGATTTCGGAAAGTGAAATGTGGTTCTATGGCTTATGGGCTAGATTGGATGGTGAAGTTTCAGTTACAATGTGTTATCGGACCTATACGAGATAGGGTGACGTGGGATCACCCCCGGGTATATGCACGGTAAGGTTATTCAACGATTGGTTGGCTTTTGGAACAACTCTGGGCACGTTCGAGGACGAACGTATGTTTAAGTGGGGGAGGATGTAACGACTTCGAGGACGAACGTATGTTTAAGTGGGGGAGGATGTAACGACCCGACCGGTCGTTTTGAGCTTTTGCACTTTGATCACCAGTTCCCGGGCATGACTTGCCCCGTGTAATGTATTATGACAGATGTAGATCATTGGTTTTGGTTTTCAGGAGAATCGGGATGAATTTGAAGGAACAGTCTCAGTTGAAAACTTCGAATTTGAAAGGTTTGACCAAGGGTTGACTTATTTGTATATGAGTTCGGATCGGAGTTTCTATGATTTGGTTAGCTTCGTTAGGTGATTTGTGACTTAGGAGCGTGATCGGAATTGGTTTTGGAGGTCCGGTGTAGAATTAGGCTTGAATTGGCGAAGTTAGTATTTTGGCGATTTCCGGTTGATAGGTGAGATTTTGATCCGAGGGTCGGAATGGAATTCCGAGAGTTGCAGTAGCTTCGTTAGGTGATTTGGGATGTGTGTGCAAAATTTCAGGTCATTCGGACGTGGTTTGGTTGGGTTTTTTATCAAAAATGGAATTTGGAAGTTCTTGAAATTCTTAGGCTTGAATCCGATGCAAATTTGGTGTTTTAATATTGTTTTGAGCGTTCTGAAGGTTGGAACAAGTTTGAATAATGTTATGGGATATGTTGGCGTGTTTGGTTGAGGTCCCGAGGGCCTCGGGTGTGTTTCGGGGTGGTTTTGAATCATTTCGGGCTGTTTTGCAATAGCCCGAAGCTGGTATCTGGTATTGTTCTTCCCGTCCGCGAGGGTCCCCTCGCGTTCGCGAAGAAATATTTGGCTTTTGGGATTTTGTTCTTCGCGTTCGCGAAGAGAGACTCGCGTTCGCGAAGAAGAAGAAATTCTGTTGCGCAGGTCTTACTTCGGAGGCTCGTATCTCTAAATCTTCAATGAATTTTGAGATGATTCAAAAACGAAAGTTGTAGCTCTTTGAATCTAGTTTCCAGAAACATATTATAATAGCTATTTGGACATATGCAGCAAAAATTATTGCGATTATACTAGAGGCTGTCCGAGAAGAGTTTGAAAAATGACTTATGGAAATTTTGTTCTTCGCGAACGCGAGAGGAGGACCGCGAACATGAAGAACAAATCCCTGGGCAGTAGAATAAAGTACAAACTCGTATCACTCTTCCATTTTTGGACCAAGGGAGCTCGGGTGAGGCGATTTTTTGAGAGATTTTCAAGAAAAACATCGGGGTAAGTGTTCTTAACTCAATTTTGGTTAGATTACCCGAATCCATTTGTTAAAACTGTTATTTTTAACATGTAATTAGTCATTTTAAGTTGGAAAAGTTTGAAAACCCTCTTGGATATATTTGAGGATTTGAGGGTCGAAATGTTATCAGAAATTACTACTTTTGGTATGTATAAACTCGTGAGGAGATAAGGAACCCATTGATGTGAAAATTTCTGAGTTTTGAGAAGTCGGCCCGGGGCTCGGGTTTTGCCAATTTCGAGATTTTTAATAATTTTCGATTGTTTTCGATTGGGTATTGTCCCATTGGCTTATTGTGACGTATTCTTTCTGGTTTTGGATAGATTCGACGCGCGTGGAGGCCGATTTGAGGGGCAAAGGCGTCGCGAGCTAGAGATTTCGCCGGTTTGAGGTGAGTAATGATTGTAAATAATATCCTGAGGGTTTGAAACCCCGAATTGCACACCGTAGTGCTATATTGAGGTGACTTGCACGCCGTATACCGAGCGTGGGGTAGAGCACCGTTGGGAGACTGTGACTTGGTCTGTCCCGATTGATGATTTTATCGCGTATTTGACTGAAACTTATTTGTTATTATCATGATTTGGGCCGATTGCCATATTTGGGCTTCGTGCCAATTATCTGAACCCTTCGGGATTTTTATCACTGTTTCCTCACTATTTTGATATACTACTTGAACTCAATCCTGTTGATTATACTGTTTTACAAACGCAGTCGCTTTAATTGAACTTTGAGACTTAAATGATATTTTCACTGTTGTTTGGGCTGAGCACTACTATTTTATTGATGCCCGAGGGGCTTATGATGTTTTCTGGACTGAGTGAGGCCGAGGGCCATATGTAAGGATATGTTGAGTGATGTGAGGAGGCTTCCAGGCCTTGTGAGTGATGTGAGGAGGCTTCCAGGCCTTGTGAGTGATGTGAGGAGGCTTTCAGGCCTCGTGAGTGATGTGAGGAGGCTTTCAGGCCTTGTGAGTGATGTGAGGAGGCTTTCAGGCCTTGTGAGTGATGTGAGATGGATTTCAGGCCTTATGTTATATGCCACGAGGTGGCTTGATATTGCGCTTGGGCCGTAAGGGGCCCCTCCCGGAGTCTGCACACCCCCAATGAGTGCCGTCGACGATATATGGATCGGGCTGCACGCCGCAGCGAGTTGTGGATCGGGCTGCACGCTGCAGCGGTTACTATATGATACTGTTCTGAGAGTGATCTGAGAGAGAGAGAGAGAGCCCGAGGGGCTGAGAGTGAGCCCGAGGGGCTGGTACTGTTTTGAGATATTGCCCGAGGGATGAACTTTTATGTGCTCATCTTGCATAATTACTTGCCTTTTTACCTGTTATACTGCGGTATTTATGCCCGAGAGGCGGATTTTTTCTGTGCTTATCAGCACTCACTGTTTTGAAATCGTTTCGTAACTGTTGAAAAGATCATTTTCAAAAGAGATTTAAACTGAGCCAATATATTTCTAAAGATTTCACAGCTTCACTGTTTTCTCAAAGGATTGTACCCTGCTTCTATAGAGCATGTTGGTTGCTTTACGTGATTTCTTACTGCTCAGTTGTTATTTACCTTTATTACTCACTGAGTTAGAGTACTCACTTTACTCCCTGCACCTCGTGTGCAGTTGCAGGTATTTATTCACCCGGTAGCGGGTATTGGCTGTTTGGAGGCAGAGCTGTAGTAGTCTAGCGAGGTGTCTGCCAGCGTTCGCAGCACCGTTTCTTTCTATGTTATTCATTATTCTTGTTCAGTATATTTCTAGACTTGTAAATGTAATTACATTCTTATAGATGCTCGTGACTTGTGACACCCCGATTAGGGTTGTGTTGGGTTGTATTTCCGCTAATTAATACTATTAAGTCATATTTAAGATGTTTAATTATGTTTAACTACTTTTGAAAAGACGAGTTGGGTTAGTTGGCTGGCCTCGTCTTCACGAGAGGCGCCATCACGACCAATGCGGGGTTTGGGTCGTGACATTTGAGAATAAAGCGGGTAGCTTTTCACATACATATTACCCCGCTACAAGTTGTAGTAATAGAAGATATTAAATCTTTCTTTTATTTATAGTCTCAATATAATCAACCGCTTTCGCGTATACTTTAGAAACTGAATAAGTTTCTTTGAGACTTACTACAACATAATACCTTATTGGTAATCAATTGTGTTTCTCCAAAATAGTATATTGGCTCTNGCATTTTGTAGTACCATATATTCATCAACATCTATATGGTGAATATCTCTTTTAAAGAGAAAGTTATACCAATATGGTTATGGTCAAAATTATATGCAAGATCTGTTTCTTGCATTATCGTTGTCTTTTAATAATCACAATGCCAAAATATTTTGGCGTACAATAAGTACATGACCAATGACCATTTATGCCATAATAATGACATTATTTTCTTTCCTCTCAAACCTCCTTCTAGAGGTGAGTGTGGTATATTCACTACCACTAGCACGTTCATATTCTTCCAAGAATGAAAATATATATATATATATATATATATATATATATATATATATATATATATATATATATATATATATATATATTCATAAATCACATGTTATCATATTCACATCATGAATGGACCATAGTCATCTATACGGGCTTTACAAAATCTCATGTTAAATCGATGATAAATATCACACAGTGAAGGATTATTTTAAGAATCCTTATTATTCTCATTACCACAATGATGACGATTATAATTTCGTCTATTGCCACGTCCACATTCATTGATACCTTCACGGTAATAATTTTGTCTTATTTCAGACTTATTACATATTGCTACCACATTCTCTTAAGGGAATGAGCATGAAGCAAATTCAGTAGGACGAGTTTCTAATTCTTTGCCCACAATCATACATGAATTTGATCATGGCAAGACATAGAAATTTTACCACTTTGGGTGGTTACAATTTCTTTCAAACTCCATTAGAGTTACTATCAAAATTTATCGTCTTTGCTTCTATTTAAAATTAAATTATAGAATGTCAAGAATTTAAAAGAGAAAAATAAAGTAAAATATTTACCGTAAATCTAGAATTTAATCATGAAGGAAGTTAATGGAACTATTGACAATCATTATGCTCAATCCCAAAGCTTCTATTCAAATGGTTAGAGGCTCGTGCTAATAACGTGTTATAAAACAATAAAAAAAAGAAGAAGCGTAGTATAGAAAAAAGTAGAGAAAGAGAATTTTTATTGATTTTGGGATGATTTACAATAGAATAGAACTCTTTATTTATGAAAAAAGTGACTTAACCACTCAGTAACAAACCCTAACATCTCTCTATAATACAGACATTCATGATAAATAAAATAATATTTATAACAAAACTATTTTTTTTAATACTAAAAAGAGCGGGGCACGTGATTTAACATTCCAGGACTGCGGGCGGGTCGGGCGGAGTAAATATCCAGTGTTCCTACTTCCCACCGACCCACTTTGGCGGTTTGTGTGGCTCAACTCTCACGGAGTCACGGTCACGGACTAACGGCGTGATTGAGAAAAAAAGCAAAAAAGAAACTCTCACACGCCACGCTTTTTATTCGGTTTGTCAAAAAGCGACGCTTCTTCTCTCTCTCACAATTCTCTAATCAAGCATACCAAACACACAACTGGAACCGCGCAATGCGGTTTCTTTGAATCAGATCAACTCAATTCAACCAAAACTTAACATTTTTCCACATCCTTCAATTCCAATGGAGTCCATTCTCAAATTTAGCTCAATTTCTCCGACTTTTGTCCTCAATTCTCCTCTTTTGCCGTATATGCTCTCTTCTTCCACCCGCCCCCCTACAGGAGATCCATCCGTTGCTAAATTTCGTCGATGTTTACCTCAAGCGAAACTTTCTACATCTCTACGGCCGGCGTCTCTTTCTTCTTCCGCTGCTAATGCTGCTGCTACTTCGAATTCTCAGCCTGTAAGTGTCCCCTTTGCTATTCGTTGTTTTAGTGTTTTCATTTTCGTTAGTTATGTTTCGGATTTACACACAGAAGCTCTCCGTTTAGGTCACTAACGGCCATAGTACACTCGTTTATTGTACCGTGTCGACAAACATTAACCATAGTAAAATGAAAATTTCTTGATTATGCTGATCCGTTTAAGGTGAGATAGCTCTCTGTTACGGTACCTGGTTTCGAGAGAAATTGTTAAGAGCTTGAAAGCTCTGTCAATGGTGAGAGAGATGCACAAGAGAGAAGACGAAGACAGAGGAAAAAGAAGCTTCTGGAAAAATGATTTGTTATTTTCACTCACTATGCTAACAACAATATACTGTACATCCCTATATATACAAAAATAACTGACTCCTTAATTACTAACATTAGCACCAACTAACTAATTTGGCAGCTCATATACAGCTCAGCATCCCTCAACACTCCCCCTCAAGTTATGTGATGTAAGCAAGTTGAACACTCCTAGCTTGGATAACAAAAAATCATGCTGAGCTCGACCAAGACCTTTAGTTAAAATGTTTGTGAGTTGTAACTCTGAATCATGTGCTGTTTCTATCAATCCCTTTGGTATCTTTTCTCTAATGAAGTGGCAGTCAATTTTTATGTGCTTTGTTCGTTCATGATAAATTGGATTCGCTGCAATCTGAAGGGCTGCTTTACTATCGCAAAACAACTTCACTGGCAGTTGAATCCGCAGATCCAGTTCTCCAAACAGTCCCACTAGCCAAACCACTTCTCCAATTGCTGTTCCCATGCTTCTGTATTTAGCTTCTGCTGACCTTCTTGATATAGTGCTCTGTTTCTTTGACTTCCATGAGAGTAAAGAGTCTCCAATCTTGACAATAAAACCACTGACTGATTTTCTTGTTATAGGACAAGTAGCCCAATCATCTTCACAAAATACTGTCAGCTCATTAGACCTTCTAGAAGATAATAAAATCCCTAAACCAGGTGCATTTTTGAGATACTTGACTACCCTTAAGGCTGCCTCTATGTGTGACTTCTTGGGTGAACGCATGAATTGGCTTAAGTTTTGTACTGCATAGGCTATGTCAGGCCTAGTCATAGTGAGGTATAGGAGCTTGCCCACCAGTTTTTGATAACCTGTGGCATCTTCTATTGCCTCATCTACCTCTGTAGCATCAGCTGCGGTAAGACCCTTGTCATATGCCACACTAGTGAGTCTTTGATTGACTTCCAAGGGTGTACTTGCAGGCGTAGATCCTGCCAAGCCCAGGTCTGAGCTTACGTCTAAAGCAAACTTTCTTTGACAAACAGAAATCCCAGATTTACTTCTAGCTATTTCAAGGCCAAGGAAATACTTCATCTCCCCAGGTCCTTGATCTTGAAATGATGATAAAGTAATGCCTTAGTGGCCTGAATAAGAGAGACAGAAGAACCGGTGATCAAGAGATCATCCACATACACAAGAATGATCACAATATGGCCATCAACTTTCTTAGTGAAAAGAGAGTAATCAGGGTGACTCTGGGAGAAACTAGAGGTTAAAAGAGCCTCAGACCATTTCAAATTCCACTATCTTGATGCTTGCTTCAGTCCATATAGGGACTTTTGCAATTTGCATACCTTGGACAATTCCCCCTGTTTAGCAAAACCCGGAGGCTGCACCATGTAAACATCTTTCACCAAATCTCCTTGCAAAAAAGCATTAAAGACATCCATCTGGTGCAAATGCCAACCATACATAGCTGCCATGGATAAAACAGCTCTGACTGTGACCATCTTCACTACAAGAGAAAAGGTCTCCTGGTAGTCTAACCCCTCCTGTTGTGTGTATCCTTTAGCCACCAAACGAGTCTTATACCTTTCTACTTCTCCCTTAGCATTATACTTCACCTTGTATACCTACTTACATCCTATGGCCCTCTTACCAGCAGGTAAGTCCACCAAGGACCAAGTGTTATTATCAAGCAATGCTTGAACCTCCTGCTTTATTGCTGTAACCCAGTGTTCATCTTTTAGAGCCTCTAAATAGGAATCTGGTTTTTTGATGACTGAATAATTGCAAATGGAATCAAGGTAGGAAGCTGAAAGAGAGGTGTAAGACATGTAGTCAGATGTGGGGTAAATGCAAGAAGCTGAAGAGTGAGACTAGGTAGTGGACCATGCACAAAATCATTCAACCATCCTGAAGGTTTAAAAGTTCTAGCAGTTCTCGTGGGTTGTGGAAGAGGAACAGTAGGAAGGTCACTATGTGATGTATGATCTGTTGCTGAATCACAGGAGTGTGTGGAATGTCCAGGTGATGAGAGTACTGGACTGGGTGCTTCAGGAGTATCCTGTATGCCAGGAAGTGATTCTGGGCTAAATCTGGGTTTTGGAGAAGATGGTTGTACAATAGGTGAATTATCCTGAGTAGGTGATGACTCTGAAGGTAAATCCATATGAGGCATGGGTGCAGGACAAGCAGGAATCCTGTAGGCATTTGGTGTTTGAGATGTTTTGAAAGGAAAAACATCCTCCTTAAAGACAACATCTCTGCATATGAAGAACACCTTGCGTGAAAGGCTATATAACTTGTACCCCTTTTGTGTGCTAGAATATCCCATGTGTACTGCTGCTTCAGCTCTTGGACCAAACTTATCCCCGTTAGCTCCAGCGATTGTTGCATAGCATAGGCTGCCTATGACTCTCAAATGATTCAAGTTAGGTTGTCTGCCAAAGAAAATTTCAAATGCAGATTTGTTTCCCAATACTGGAGATGGTATCCTATTAATGAGATACACAGCATTGACAGCACAAATACCCCAGAATCTCAAGGGCAACCCTACTTGAAATCTAAGTGCTCTGGCCACTAGGATATGTCTATGCTTTCGTTCAACAACCCGATTTTGTTGGGGAGTATGAACACAAGAACCTAATGTATGATCCCTGCATTACTGTATAAAGCTTTGCAGAAGGAATTAAAAACTCAGTCCATTATCATCTCTAAAAACCTTTATTGATGCATTAAACTGAGTTTGTACAAGTAGTAAGAATTCCTTAAGAACAGTACTAATATCACTCTTCAGATGTAGAAGGAATATCCATACCATTCTACTACAATCATCCACCAAAGTAAGAAAATACTGACAACCATCAAAAGTAGGAACCCTATAGGGACCCAGACATCTGCATGTATCAAGTCAAAAGGCTTTGCAGCTCTACTATTACTTATAGGAAAGGGAACTCTTGTCTGCTTAGCTAGAGGGCATACAGTACAAGACTTAGTATTATTCATGTTACTTCTAACTAAAGAAAGCTGTCTTAATATCCTTCCAGAGACATGTCCAAGCCTTTTGTGCCATAGCTCCTCCTCATCATGTACTGTTAGGATTACTGAAGGGACAAATGATGATGACCTTTTATTCTTTGAGTGCCAGTGATACAGATCTTCTTCCATCCTACCAATCCCCTTCATCTTCCCAGTGTGAAGGTCCTGCATTAGACAAAAGTCAGGATAGAATGCCATAAAGCATCTCAGCTCTCTTGTCAATTTTGCTACTGACAACAAATTAAACTTGAACTCAGGGACACATAAAACATTATGAATGCTTCCTTGCAACAATTCAGAGCTTCCTATGTGTGTAATGAGGACTCTACTGCCATTAGGTAATAACACCTTTTGATTCTCACGTTTATTAACTGAGGAGAGCATATTACTGTCTCCCACCATGTGATTTGTAACACCACTATCTACAATCCATTTATCATTCCTATCGTTAGCAGGAGAGGGAGTAACAATACCTGCTGCATTAGCTGCTACTTCTGCTTCAGTATTGTTACCTTTGTTCAGCATCTTCAGGATTTGGTTATATTGATCTTGAGTGAAGACCATAGGTGCTGGAATTGCATTCAGATTTGTTGCACTTTGACTTGCAACCACATTGTTCAACATTCCTTGACTCTGGTCATGTGTAGCAATACCTTGGTTGCCACCAACAAAATTTGAACCACGATGCTCTTCACCAGGAAAACATCCATGTTTGTAACCTTGATGGTAGATTCCAGGATTGTAACCCCCGGGATAATGCTGGCCAGAAATCATATTAGAGTTTTGGTCCAATTGTCTACCAAATGAGATCACATTATTGTCAGATGCCCCATTCTTCTTTCTCCCTTTATAGTTTGGAGGGTATCCAACTAATTGGTAACGGTTTTCCTTGGCATGACCTTTTAACTTGCAATATTTACAAAAATAAATTGAAGTTCCTCTTTGGTTTCTGTTGTGCTCCTTTTGCACTCCATAGTGCTGTAATGTCATTCCCTTCTACCGTGGAATTGACCCTAAATGTTGGTGTCAATTGACTCTCACTTTCAATAATCATTGCATACGCTAGATTCAAGGTTGGTTCTGTCGTTTTCATGAGAATTTGACGCCTCGCCTGGTCATATGAGTCGTTCAACTCACTGAGAAATTGAAGCAAACGTTGCTGTAAGAAATGTTCTACATTCTCCTTGGATTTTGCACATCCACAATTTGGAGAAGGTACCATACCATCATACTCTGACCATAGCTCCTTCAGCCTCGTGAAATACATAGAAACAGAGTTTGTTCCTTGAGAAATTGTTGCAATTTCCCGATGTAACCGGAATATACGCACTCCGTTCACTTTGTCAAAACGCTCCCGCAGATCTTCCCTTACGAGGTGTGCACATAGACAATTCCACTGAATAGATGAGGTGCAACTGTGTTCATTATCCATGAAAGGACAATTGCGTTGCATGTTTCCCAGTGCTCATGAAATTCATCATCGAATAGTTCCTTTCTACAAGTTCCGGTAACAAAGCCTAATTTCCGTTTGGCTTGAAGTGCTATACGCATCGACCTTCGCCATAGTCCATAGTTCTCAGATCCTTTGAGCTGGATCGGAATTAGAATTGAATCCGGAGTCTCCGACGGATGCACAAAGAGTGGGTGTGTGTGGTCAATTTTAGCTTCATTACCTGTAGTTGTGACTCCTGTTCCGTCTTCAATCGCCATTTTAGCTGAAATTGGGCAGAAACTCAAACCCTAGCTTTGCGATATGTGACTTTGGAACAATGTCTTCACAAATCTGCAGAAAATTGGAAATGCAATAAGCTTCGAGAATTAGGTGAGTTGTGAGCGAAATTCCGATCGATTGTCACAGCTCTGATACCATGTTAAGATCTTGAAAGCTCCGTCAATGGTGAGAGAGATGCAGAAGAGAGAAGACGAAGACAGAGGAAAAAGAAGCTTCTGAAAAAATGATTTGTTATTTTCACTCACTGTGGTAACAATACACTGTACATCCTTATATATACAAACATAACTGACTCTTTAATTACTAACATTAGCACTAACTAACTAACTAATTTGCCAGCTCATATACAACTCAGCATCCCTCAACAGAAATAGGTCTTAGTTTTTCTTCTTAAGAAAATTATATTAGAAAAGATTCATGGCTGAGTTTCTTTATTTTGCTAGTTTGGCTGGTAGGAGTAATTCTCCAATGTTGTGACTTGCTCAACCTAATGAGTTACTTTTCACTTCTCAGCCAAGAGACGGACATTACACAGTTGGTGACTTTATGACTGGGAAAGAAGATTTACATGTAGTAAAACCTTCAACTAAAGTTGGTGAAGGTACTTCTGGATTTGATTCCCCAGTTTAAAGTCTAAACATATATACACAAATATATATTTTGATAAATTGAAGCGGAAACATGCTAATAATTCTGTTTTCCTTTATTTCTGCATTTTGATCTTGCAGCCCTTGAGATGCTTGTGGAAAAGAGAGTTACTGGGCTTCCTGTAATTGACAATGACTGGAATTTGGTAATTCCTCTTAGTTAACTTCCATCATTTCTTGGAAACATTTATGTTAATGGCCTACATAATCCACCCGGATGATCAGTATTTCCATTTTATTTCGCTGCATATTTCTTATCCTTCAGTTTGAAGTTGTGCTCCGATAAAGAGATTATATTCTTACAATGTCGGGGTTTCCCCATTGTTAATAAAATCATTTACCTTAGTTAAAAAAAAAAAAAAAATTCTTGCAATCTCGTAAAGTGGTTCCATAAGTGCTGGGAAGATGTCAATTTTCCTTTTTGATTGCGTTTGATATTCTCATTGGTCATTACAATGCAAACAAGGACAATTTGATCTTCTGTGGGTGAAAAAGTATTAGCAAGGGATCACTAATATGTGATAGGTTTCTCCTTCATTTTTTGTCCTTATTGTGGGGCATAGGTGGCGGCAATTATCCTCACATAGTTGGCGTCTTCCATGAACAGATCAGAGGGAAGTTTATTCCCGTAATCGAGATGATACCTTGTGCCAGGGTGCCTCTTCATTGGGCTAAGTGTAAGCTGTAACAATTTGCAACATGCAGTTTCATGTTAGCCACGTCGATATAGAAACAATGAGCTGAGAGGTTGTGGGCAACTCTCCTGATCAGTGAACTCAAAAGACATGTCATATCTTTTATCATCTTTTCATCTTGAAAAAATTTATGCGGACAATCAATTAATACACATGCATTTTTTCTTAAAACTAGGAAGGAGAGTTACTTGAAGGGGAGCCTTGGCGTAACTGGTAAAGTTGCTGCCATGTGACCAGGAGGTCACGAGTTCAAGCCGTGGAAACAGCCTCTTGCGGAAATGCAGGGTAAGTAAACCCTTGTGGTCCGGCCCTTCCCTGGACCCCGCGCATAGCGGGAGCTTAGTGCACCGGGCTACCCTTTAGGAAGGAGAGTTTCTGGCTAGTCCAATAGGAGTTCTGTTGACTTCTCTAATCTGACTAGGTATTGTTCAAACTGTTTAAGCAACTTAATTCTCAGATAAAAGGTGAGATATGTCTGGAGGATCCCATATGAAAGATGCTTCATTTATCACCATAGTACTCTGGCCTGGGCTCTCCACTTCTCCCTTGTTCCCTTTGAAAGGGGAGCTTTCATGGTCTGTGAAACCCTATTGCTAATTGAGACTACCAGGACAAAATTATGATCAGCGCAGCAATTCAGAGATGTTAGTCTAGCTAACTTCTCAATTTGGCTCACGGATATCTTGTTGCAATAACTGGACCAGGATAGGTGTGGGGTTGGGGGTAGAGAAGCTGTCGTGGTGGATTGGTGGAAAGGCAAGATCTATAGTATGTTTCCCGTTCTTCCTTGTGGGCTTGGAGAAATATAACCGTGTTATAACAAAAATATTTTTTGGTGAGACATATTTGTTTTATCTACCGATGACTGTGTCTCAATAGTAATTTAAGCTAGTATGAGAGGCACCGTTGATTCCCACAATATTTCTTTTTTCTTTGTTTTTAAATAATAATAATGCTCTCTTTTAGATCAAGTTATAAAATGCAATGACAGAAGATGACACTCTGCTGCAGGTTGGCGTTGTTTCTGATTATGACCTACTGGCACTTGACTCTATATCAGGTATCATTGAGGGTCTGTGAACAAATTTATGCTTTTGCAACCTTATTACTCTTCTGGAACTTTCTCTAAATGCTGTATTCTGGTGCTGAGCATGTTTAAGTGATGCTCATGAGCAATAATAGAGTAGCTATGATTAGGTAATTTTCTTGACAGTGGAGACTACTGAATCGGTAAATATCTAAACATCACATTTTTCTTATTTTTACAATCTCAAGAAAAAAAAAATTAAATATCAAGGATAATATTTGTACTTCACTACTCTTATAAGAAAACTACTTTTCGGTTGAGATGGGGTTGCATCAGGGATCAGCACTCGGCCCGTTTTTGTTTTCCCTGGCGATGGATTCTTTGACGCGTCACATCCAAGGGGAGGTGCCTTGGTGCTTGTTATTTGCGGACGACATAGTCCTGATTGATGAGACGCGAGGTGACATTAACGAAAGGCTGGAGGTCTGGAGGCATACTCTAGAATCTAAGGGTTTCAAGTTGAGCAGGACCAAGACAGAATACTTGGAGTGCAAGTTCAGTGGTGTTACCCAGGAGGCGGGCGGGGATGTGAGACTCGATACGTAAGTCATTCCCAAGAGGGAAAGTTTCAAATATCTGGGATCTATAATTCAGATGAATGGGGAGATAGATGAGAATGTTGCTCACCGTATCGGAGCAGGATGGACGAAGTGGAGGCTCGCTTCCGATGTCTTGTGTGATAAGAACGTGCCGTTGAAACTTAAGGGTAAGTTCTACAAGGTAGTGGTCAGACCGACTATGTTGTATGGGGCAGAGTGTTGGCCAGTCAAAAAGTCACATGTCCAGCATATGAAAGTAGCGGAAATGAGGATGTTGAGATGGATGTGTGGGCATACTAGAGTGGATAGAATTAGGAATGAAGTTATTAGGGACAAGGTGGGAGTGACCCATGTGGAGTCAAAGATGCGTGAGGCAAGGTTGAGATGGTTTGGGCATGTTAAGAGGAGAAGCACAGATGCCCCAGTCAGGAGATGTGAGAGGTTGGCCTTGGGAGGTGAGAGGAGGGGTAGAGGTAGACCTAAGAAGTCTTGGGGTGAGGTAGTCAGGCAGGACATGGCACACCTTCACCTCTCCGACCACATCACCCTACATACAAGGGTGTGGAGGTGGAAGATTAGGGTGGAAGGTTAGTAGGTATTTGGGCGTTTCCTCTTGGTCTTCCCTATTTCGATAGTATTAGTGCTAGTATGGTACCCTTTTTTCCTTAGTTTGCTATAGCCGCGTGTCTTGTTCTGTTACTACTTACCTTCGGTAATTCCGTAGTTTGCTAGCAGGACTTCGTCATATTCTCGTATGCTGCCTTGGACTTATCTGTCTAAGTATACTATCTTGATATTACTTGTTATCGGTACTATCTTGCTATTCTTTGTTGTTATCTCCGATTTAGTTTTCTAACTATTTGTCTTGCTATCACTTGTTATCAGGGCATCATTCACATTCTTTAGCCGAGGGTCATTCGGAAACAGTCTCCCTACCCTTCCAGGGTAGGGGTAAGGCTGCGTACATCCTACCCTCCCCAGACCCAACTTGGTGGGATTATACTGGGGTAGTTGTTGTTGTTGTTGTACTCTTATAAGAAAAGATATTGTGTACATCATATTCAAAAAGCAAGCTTCCAAAGTTCTCAATGAGTTGCTCACTATTATGAATAAAACTATCGAGTCTTCAAGGGAACTAGGAATCCATAAGCTTGTCAAGGATGATATTCCTATTCTGGTAGGGTCACGTAAGATACTGCTGAGACTGCATGGATGGTATGTGACTTCTGAACGTTTAACGAGGCTTGTAATGTTAAACAAGCAAGGGTTTCTTCCTCTCGTTTAATGGGGCACCTAAACCTGGACAGATCCGGACAGGTCTTTTGGTGCTTTAGTTTTTCAGGTTTTGTTGGTGAAAATATGATCGGAATCCTGGGGAAAGGGGTTGACATAAATAACACTTAATAGTGCTTTGAAACTATAATAATCTAGGAGTAAACAAAATCAAGGGTTTGTTTGATAGAGAAGCAAACCTGTAGGATCTCTCCTGTATGCTGGTGCATTCTACTGTACGATTGAAATTCCCTCCTCCATATAGCTAACATGAAACTTCTTTTTTGTCTGGACAATTTCTACTAATAGAAGCATTATTTAAACACAATACTTACCTTTTATTGACCAAGTATTCGAGAGATAGCTCAGAAATAGCTCCGTACAGCAGGAAGCTTTTGTAATCTAAATTCTAAAATGTCCTTTAGCATTAGTTCTTCATTGAATGCATCAGCAGACGTTTACCTTAATTAGTTGAGGCTTGCTTTAATGATGATTGATGTTCAGATTCAACATTGTTCGTACTCTTTAGCTACAGCTTTAAAATTCAGCTGACTATTGAAGAATTTGTTTTTGAAGGACATAACACACTCTTCAGATTTGCAGCAAAAAGTGCATGCTGGACTACCTATGATTAGGATAGCAAGTCTATAATGGTTGAGCTGGCAATGTGGTATCCAATAATTCTTTTTTAGCTATAGAAAAGCGAGGTTTCTGCCTTTAGAAGGGAAAAAGGAAGAGGAAGAGAGAAGTAGAGAGGGAGAGGTGAGGGGGGCTAAGAGAAGGAGAAAAGATCAGTCTTGCGGTCCCTATTTTGTGATTTATTCTGCTTTGACTACTTGAGAACTTTGAGATCTAATAATTAGCTTGTAATCATGCATGTAAATTTTTTCCTATGATGAGTGAGATATATTAACCAGTTTACTTTTGATGAAGGTGTGCTTACCGTTTCTTTGTGTGCTTCCTTAAGTTGAACCATTGTTAGAAGTATCAGTTCCCATCCATTAATAGAAGTTACACCGTTTTCCTGCAATTTCTCTTACTGCTTCTTCTTCTTCTTCTTCTTCTTCTGTTTTTTTTTAAAATGTTTTACTAGGAACTGGCCAAGCTGACACAAATCTGTTTCCTGATGTTGACAGTACTTGGACGGTATGTAATAATCTTTTTTCTTATAGTAGATAACAATTTTCATTACTTAATTTTACTTCTTGTGGTTTGTAATATGGTTTTATGCTTGCACTTCTATTTTATATTGCTGTTTTAGCTGTGAGCTGAGATAATAGTTTAGGACACAGTTTTGATGTGAAGAATGCTCTACGATCATATTTAGTGATTCCTTTTTTTTCTTTGAAAAAGTTAGCTGAAACATCAGTGAATCATTTTCTGAGCTAAGCACATTCCCAGTTTAATCTGACTTTGCATGCCACATTCACGGATTGTTAATAGGACCTGAAGAATTAAGTCATCATGCTAAGAAATAGTTTTTGGCGAGTGCAAGGTATTAACAAGTATTCAGGCCAGAGTTTATTTGTGAGTTTGGCTCTCATTCTGGGGGTGGAGTTATGATTACATCCAGGTTGAGTTTTCTAGAGAGTACTCTCTCTCAGGGGAAAAAAAGTTTTCTAGAGATTAGGTGTCAATATGTAGTGTACAATATTCTAGAAATTATGTTTAAGCTCCCTCTTTATCTTGTTACGTTTCTTGCTTTCATTCTGCAGACATTTAATGAGGTTCAGAAGCTACTGAGCAAAACTAATGGAAAAGTTGTTGGTGATGTCATGACACCGACTCCATTATCTGTCCGTGAAAACACCAACCTTGAAGATGCTGCGAGGTAATTGAACAAGCTTTTGTATTTTCATTAGCTGTAATAAGGTTCCAATTAGCTAGTGCAATTGGTTATTCAAATTCCTTTTAATGCCTTTTTCTTTTTTATACCTATTCCATTTGGGAAGGCTGCAAGAGACATGTTATTTAAGGCAGATGATTCTTGCTAATCTTTTCTCCTTCCGCTGGACTATTGTATTCTTGCTAATCACTAAATGAGAATCTGGATTATTCATTTAGCAGATTTAACTGTAAAGTTGACATCATGAGATAAATTCCTGCTGATTTTAGGTTGTTGCTCCAAACGAAGTACCGTCGGCTGCCTGTTGTTGATATTGATGGCAAACTGGTAATTTGCCTTCTTCTTCTCTTTATTTGGATTTTTAGTGCATCTGCCAGCAGCATTTAATTTCTGATGAAGCCCTGTTTACTGAAATGTGAAGGTTGGGATTATCACAAGGGGCAATGTTGTTAGAGCTGCTCTACAAATAAAACGTACTATTGATACACAATGACGCCTGGGTTCCAGCGGGAAAGTTGTTTGTTCATGTCAAGTCTTGACGCTACGGTATTATAATATATGTTCTCTTCCATTTTGTCGTCCTTGGCTTCCTACTGTGCCAAGTGCATTGGGAGAAGGGGGAAGCAGGGGATTACTTTGCCCGAGTATTTGCTGGTAAGCAAGAACATGATCCTCGTGAGCTCCAAATCGAAGTAAGACATCTGTCTGGAATCCTTGTTCATATCTGGTTATTTCTGCTGGTTTCACCAAATCGAGCTTCCTTTACAGAGTTTGAACTCCCTGTGTATCGAACGTTTGCTGTAAGCTGGGGCTCCCATATGGATGGTACCCCAATGCTCCATGTACCATTTGTTAGTTTTCAAGCTTGTAGTAGTATGAGAACTTTAACAATATTCTACGTAATGTACACGTTATAAGGAAACACCGGAGTTTGGTAACATTAGAGTTTATGGTTTGATTTGATGTGAAGATACTTGCACTTATTGTACACATTATATAAATATACGTAACACGTAAGGCTTCTCAAATCTGATGTTTCTTCTTCTCATAATGTTATGTTCATCAAGACATGATAAAAAATCTAAGTTTGAGAGAACATTAAGGTTTATCCGATTAAATAAGCATATAGAAAAAGTGAAACAACGATTAAATGGACTTATACTAGTGGATTGGTAGGAATAATTTCGTTACTTAATTACTTGTCGAATTATATGTACTTATGTCTTGTAGCAAAGTAGTTAATCCAGAGTAAGATGATCCTCCTTCTTCAACTGCCTGCCTTGCCATCTCCTTGTACCCTTCAGCTCTGTTTCTGAATCCCTCTGCTTCATCACTCTCCATGACCTGTTTTATTGCCTTAGATATTGCTTCTCTTTTCACTCCCTCGCTAGCTATTCTCTTCCATTGAACCGAACCAACGCCAACCCCAATTCTGAAAACCTCAGTCACTAACTTTTCGTTGAAGAATTGCTCCCCAAACACAGGCCATGTCACCATTGGCACCCCTGCCGATATTCCTTCCAGCGTTGAATTCCATCCACAATGAGTGACAAAAGCTCTCACAGCTTCATGATCAAGAATTAGTACTTGGGGTGCCCATCCTCTTATGATTAAACCTTTTTCTTTCATTCTTTCCTCGAATCCTTCAGGCAGCCAATCTTCGTTATCTAGTTCTGTTCTAACAACCCAAATGAATTCTTGTCCAGAAGCTCCAATTCCCATAGCGAGTTCGTGCAGTTGTAATGCAGTGAAATTCGTTACGCTTCCGAAACAAACGTAAACGACGGAACTTGGTTTCTTCGAATCAAGCCATTTCATGCGCTCGCGTTTGTCAATAGAGGATTTCTTCCCTCTTTCAGCTTTATCATCACTGTCCCTGTTGCACAGAGAAAGTGGGCCAATAGCTCCTGTTTTTCTACCCAGAACCTTGGTGTAATGTTCAGCATAATCTGGTTCAAGCTCATAGAAGCTGTTGAAGACAATTCCGTAGCCCTTCAAGCCCGATTCTCTGAGTGCTTTTATCTTTGGGGACATACTTTCCTCTTCCTCGATTAGATCAAATGGGGATAACTGTGTTCTGGTCAGCTTGATCTGGTTAGGCAAATTTGGTACAGCAAAAGTTTCAGAATCAGAGGAGACATTCTTGAAAGGCGTATAACGCCTGATGCTATCAGCGACACCAAGTGCAAAGTAGCTTGTGCCATGAAAAACCAATCTTGGAATGTTAAATTTGTCTGCACTATCAGAAGTCCAAGGAAGGAACATATCAGAAACAAGACAATTGGGGCGGCATTCTTGAAGAAGCTACTCAAATGGTTCTTGCATCATAGTTGTAGCCGTGGCGAAGTTGCTTAGCAAGTCATCGGAAGGGATGAGATCAAGGCGCTCACATCCTTCAGGCAAGCCGTTCTCAACAGCTTGAAATTTGATCAAATGGATGTCAATTTCAGTTCCCACTTGCTTGCTTCTTTGAATAGAGTTGGAGAAAACTGATTCATTGAGAGGTGTGGTGATTATGGTGGCCTTAACACCACGAGAAGCGACGAGCTTGGCCATATCAAGCGTAGGAATCATGTGGCCATGAGCCATCAGAGGAAAGAAGAAAAAATGGAGATGACTCATGTTGAAATTTTTGGAGGAAAGAACGTTGTTGCAGCAGAACACAGAGCAGAGTAAACCAATCTGGTTCTTTTCAATCTTTTATCTGATAAATGCAAGAGTTACTGATGCACCTAGGGGATTTTCACTGTTTATTATGTGCATGTGCGATTTGTGGAGACTGGAGAAGTATAATTTGGACACTACTTTCCAACTTTCCTTTTGAAACACCATGAGACAAGACTTCTCTTCAGGAAAAGAACCAATCAATTAGTTAAGGGGAAGCAGAGAACAGGTACGAGGTCGAATAGGCACATGCAATCAACATAAATGGGCTAAGGAGGGTCAGTTGATGGAGAGTGGTAAACATTTTGTCATTAGCAGCTCCATATGCTAGTGCCTAACTCCCTTCGCTTGGAGTACGGAACCAAAATATTATTTTTTTGGACTCAAAGCACAAAAATAGGTAACAAAATCAACTGATAATTAATTTATGTATAACGCATGTGTTCAATGTGCTATATCTTAACGGTACGTTTATCCGTTAAGGTATTGCGTATGCAACACATGCGCTATATTTGAATTTTAGATTGATATATATATATATATATATATATATATATATATATATATATATATATATATATATATATATATATATATATATATATATGAAGCTAAAAAGACGGTATAGCACATCCCCCATATATGCGTTATACCTATATAAAATATCGGGCCAGCCTTCTTCCCCGAAAAGACAGAACCAAAACGGTCCCCCCCATTTTTTAACAAAAAATCTCCACTGGAGCCCACCCGTCCCCCAAAAATTGTGTCCTCTCCGTATTTTAGCAACCTAGTACCAGATCCAAGGCGTCGGTGGATCTCGTCTATTGCTCGTTTCGGCTCCAAAATCATCAATTTTTCACAATTCAACAAATATTAAATCGAGGTATTCCGACTTACTTTTTGGTAAAACTCATGTATATAAAATGCATATTATTTGTTTTCTGTGTGTTGTATGTTTTTTTTGTGATCGTTTTGTAATATAATTATTTTTTTATTTTTTATCCGGATTAGTTTATTGATGTGTAAAAAATTAATGTGTGTGTGTGTATAGTTATTTTATGAATAATTATTATTATATTGTTGTGCGTATATGTGACTTTATTGTTGTTTAGTACCCTTTAGTGTTATGTTGTGCCTTTAGTTGTTATGTTTTGCCCTTTAGCATAATAAAATTGATAATAAATTTTAGCTTATGGTAGTTGACTTTGTTTATGGCCATTTAGAGTAGTGTTACTTTAGTGCTCTTTAAGATTTCGTAGTCTAGAATAAAAACTATGTGCTCTCCTTAACAAACTCGTACTCAATTATGCATTTAATGTATTAGTAGATAATTATCAAATATTAGATATGAATCATAAAATAATCAGTTGACGTTACAAAGAGACGCTGTCAGAAAATTTGGGCAAAATACGACAGTTAACAAATAAATCGTTACGAATGAAAGAAATTAAATATTATTTACTATTAAGTTTGTAGTATTTTTTGTATGAATAATTATTGAATATATCTTGATTACAACATAAAAATAAAAAAACTACACTTAGAGCATCCATGTATTGGTTTAGTGGTTATCGCCCATTATTCTATGCTTTAACCACTTAAATTTCTCTTCCAACCGATTATTTTCTTCTTATGCCTCTGTTATTTTCCCCTTCACTGCCACAAATTGTTCTTGCAGTTTCAAGATATGGAGTTTGTATTCACCGGTCAAATACCAAATGTTTAGCAAACATGATTTGTGGTATTCCTGGTTAATGGGTTCATCATACCATTCTTCAAAACCACATTGAATTTTGTCCTACCAATGGGGATGATAACAAAAGACTATTAATTAACATGTTATATTAAAACTATTAACAAACATAACTTTCAATAATAATAACAACTTACAACTTGTTTACACATCCAACGTCTATGCCCTTGATTGCAATTTGACCAACACGACTTCAAAATCGCACGTTTGCCACAGTAATACCACCAACGTCATTACGTCCAGATATGTTATAATGCTCGAAAATGAAAAATTAATGGAAAGTTGTTTTCTTCGTTTCATTACAATGTAAATAATAACTAAAATGCGCGAGGTTTTTATAGGCAACTAAGAGTGATTTTAGGTTACATAACGCATATTAGTGATGCGCTACGTAGCGCGGGCTAATGATTCTTTCGCGTGCTAATGATTCTTTAGTGTACAAGTGGGTGCAGCTTTTTCAGGTCGACCGTTTTTTCAGGTCGACATGGCAATACACATAACACATATTGGTGATGCGCTATGTTTCGCGTGCTAATGATTCTTTAGGGTACAAGTGGGTGCAGCTTTTTCAGGTCGACAACTTTTTCAGGTTGATAGCTTTTTCAGGTTGACATCTTTTTCAGGTCGACATGACAATACACATAACACATATTGGTGATGCGCTATATTTAGTATACAAGTTCGTGTAGTTTAGTTCTTCTTAAGTTGAACCAACATTGCAGTATTCAAAGGCTATTTCAAGAACCATTACAACATCCATTTTAGAAATGCCACTAACATTTAATAAGTGGTTTAAGAAGAGGCAAAAAGGTGAAGGTAGTTCAACAGATCCACACGGAACACGTCATAACACAATCGATCCCTACCTTAAAAATTATGCTAGGTTGCTATACTGATTTGGTTGATGACAAGTGGTACGGTGTTCTGCGTCCCTTGAAAAATAAGCCTATCAATATACACACTGATCTCAAAGTTGCAGGGCACATTATTGAGGGCGAATCATATTCTATAACGCTTGAAGGTGTGCGAATTTGGGGCAAAAAACTACAATGGGTTCCTCTTTACTCAAACGGTGTGATTATGAAGTACTATACCACCGGCATGTGCTAGTTATACCACAAGCACTGTCTGCAACCTTTCAAACAAACAGACATAAAAATGAACCAGTAGTGATTCGGTATTTAATGAAGGAGATTTTAGAGATGGAAAAGGAACTAGTCGTTCATCATGCACTGTATGATCTAAACTACCTGCAAGGAACGGAGGATTGGAATTAAGATTTATTAGAAAATGAAAAATTGCATAGAGACATTGATTATCCTGTTTTTCCAGCAGTTGTCGAGTGGGAGGGACTACCTAAGTTTCTACCGCAGACGTTGGACGTAGGAATGTAGAAATCAGGCTAGTGGTCTTATTGATGATACCGATGAAATACAAAAAATATCTGTCAACTGTGTCCTAGATTACGATGCCCTCGGTCCGGAAGGATGCGTACAAGATGTTGACGAAGAAGATGAAGAGAGTGACAATGAAATAGTGCCAGACAGTGACGATAATGGCCAATGAAAATTGTTATTTAATTATATTTTAAATTGTTGTATTGAATTTTTA